CTGTCTTAGCAAAGAAACAATAGACGCAATTAAGTGCATCTTCTCCGGCACTAGGCAAGAACAAAAGAGAAGATTAAGGAGGAGAAACTTGGCTGGGGTGGTGAGGAGGGCAGCTGCCCCTGGGAGGAGGTTTGCGTGATATGGCGGAGGCCATCCCGTGGTCCTCCTGCCTGGGGGGACCTCCCTGGAAATGCGGGACAGAGAACGCCACCCCTGTCTGCACTGCGAGCGAAAAGTGTGGACAAAACTCGGTCTCCTTCATCACGTCGTGCCGTTCTGGGGCTCCTTTGGCAGAGGGTTGAATATGTCCATGGGGCGCAAACCCTGGGGTGAAGAAGAGAAGTGGGACTTCCCAAACCCCACCCCGTGGCCTGCGCATCTGCCACCTACTGCTCCCCAGGTGGGTGTATGGCCACACCGAGCCTGAGGTGATGTCACCCTGGTCCCTTCCCCCCCCATTCCCCCCACCCCAAATCAAGATACTCCTTGAAGAGCTGTATCAGTGTCCTGGGGCTGCTGGACACACTACCACAAGCTTGGTGGCTTAAAACAACAGAACTTTATTCTCCCACCGTTCTGGAGGCTAGAGGTCCAAAATCGGGTGTCAGCAGGGTTGGTTCCCTCTAGGGACTGTGAGGGAGAACCTGTCACCATGCCGGCAATCCTTGGAGTTCCCTGGCTTGTAGCTGCGTCAGTCCGATCTCTGTCTTCACGTGACCTTTCCCTCTGTGTCTCTGCGAGTCTCTCATCTCCCTCTCCTTCTCTTGTAAGGACAACGGTCATTTCATCTTGAGATTCTTAATTATGTCTTACTATATTTCCAAATAAGATTGCATTCACAGGAATTGTGAGTCAGGAGTTGGATATATGTTTTTGGGGGAGCTACTGTTCAACTCAATCCATTGGAGTATGATGACCCTGGGATGTGAATAAACTATATTTCATCAAAAATTCTATTTAGGCCGGGCGCGGTGGCTCACACCTGTAATCCTAGCACTCTGGGAGGCCGAGGCGGGCGGATTGTTTGAGCTCAGGAGACCAGCCTGAGCAAGAGCGAGACCCCGTCTCTACTAAAAATAGAAAGAAATTAATCGGACAACTAAAAATATATAGAAAAAATTAGCCGGGCATGGTGGCGCATGCCTGTAGTCCCAGCTACTCGGGAGGCTGAGGCAGGAGGATCGCTTGAGCCCAGCAGTTTGAGGTTGCTGTGAACTAGGCTGACGCCACGGCACTCACTCTAGCCTGGGCAACAGAGTGAGACTCTGTCTCAAAAAAAAAAAAAAAATGAAAAATTCTATTTACCTTTATTGATTTTTAAGTTTAATTTTAATCATCACATTGAGGGAGTGTGACAAGATATCTAGATGGACATGTTTCTCAGACAGTCGGAAATATGTCTCAGGAATGTGGGGAAATCGAGAGAGACTGATTGGGAAGCCACAGACACTCAAGGAGGTGAGAACTAAAAGTTTCCTTCTAACAACGAGTGTCTGTGATTTTAAGTTTAAAATAAAGAGGGGAAGAGAAGAGGGAGGTGGGTAGTGAGAGAGGCCGCTCTTGGAACTCGGATGAATTCTGAGGTTGGGTTCACTCCAGGACACTCATGTGGTTTCTAAGTTGGCTCTAAGGGTCTCTTTGTCCCTAAAGGACCTCAGAGAACCGTGAGACAAAGCTCCTGGCGCCATGGGATTCCTAAGGCTCTGTTCTGGGCGCTTGTTTCAGAACCTAGAGGTGTCTTCAGCATGCCTGCCCCAGGTGATAGCTTTTGTCCAGTTGACTTTGCTCTGTGGGGTGCTGCTCCGCCGGAATTAGCTGTTCAATGAACTTGATCAGAAGCCACAGGCCGTGTGGCCCAGCAAAGTCTGCATCCCACACTCTTTCATTCTTCCTTCCTCTCTCCTTCCCGCCATCTCGCCATTTTGGGAAATCTACCATCACCACGCTAGGGCAGTGGGAATAAAATCACGAATAAGATAGCGTGTGCCCCTAAGAAACCCCCAGGTTGGCGAGGGGACCAGGTCTAAGCACAGATAATTGCGATGAAATTCCGTAACTTTAATGCTGGAGGTGTTAATGATAATGAGAATAACGGCTACCGTTTACCAGCGTGCCTCCTATGTGTCAGGCATTTATTTGTAAGAAGCAGGTGTTATCTCATTTAATCCTCACCAAACCCCCATTTTACAGATGAGGATACCGAAGCTTGGGGGTAGGAAGGTGCCCAGCCTAAGTGCCGGTACCTGGGCTTGAAACTGTGTTGGATTCTAAAGTTCATCCTTTACTGTCCCTGCTCAGGACCACAAAAGGAGGAGCCCCCATCCAGCCGGACAGACAGGAAATTTGTCATTGCTCTGTGGGACTTAAAAATACAGTCTCACCCCATGTAGATGAGCGCTGCGTGGGCTCGGCTGGGCACACAGCCGGAGCACAAACACTGTTATCTTCCTCCCTTCCTGACCCTGATCTTTATCCCATTCTCCCTGCCCATCTGATGTGCTGTTTTGATTTTTTTACTTTTTTGTTCTCTTTGATCTTTTATTGATCCTTTCGGCATCCGGCATCCGTTTGCTCTTTTCAAGATCATATGAGGGCAAAGCCCTGTCCAGGCTCCTGCACGTTCCCCCAAACACTGGAGCGCATCCCCGAGCTCGTGAACAGCCACTGTTTCCGGGACGGGGACAGCTCTCAATAAATAAGAATGACGACCGAGGGCAGCACGCAGGGCTGAGCAGGGCTTGCATCGATCACTGAAATGTACTTCCTCCCGCGGCCGCTGCCTACCTTCGCATTCATCGTCCCGCCGCAGAAGGCCCCATCGATTCTTCACTGTAATGGAATCTTACAAAGTGGAGGGGGTGTAATTAACACACAGACGTGGCTTTCATCGGAAAGTCTCCAACCACAGATCCAGCACCGCCTGGTGATAAATGTCTTCTTTCCTTCCGTGCTACCATCGCACAGATCCCGAGCTCTCAAGGGGAGTGATGTGCAGAACAAAAAAAAAAAGGTGACCTCTGAAGTGTGCAGGGACCCAGGACCACGAGTCACTGGGAGGAACCCTTTGTAGATGTGGCTTTAGGGTCCTCCTCTCTGGGAACGTACACCCAGCTCCTGCTCTGTCCCAGGAGCAGCTCCAGCTGCTGCCGAGGACAAGATGAGTTCCTGCCCTCGCGGTGGTCCCGGGAGAGCATACCCCGGGCCCTGCGGGATCCAGGAAGAATGGAGTTATCTATCCTTCGGTGGTGGGAGAAGGCGGGACTTCATGGAGAAGGCAGTGTTTGGCTTGGGCGTTGAAGGCCAAACCGAGAGAAGTAGGCGCTCTTGGTGGAAGTCACAACCTGTTAAACCGGGGAGGTGGGCCAGTAGGGGCCCTGTCCCAGCTCTTCAACAATGGTAACCTTGCTGCCTTGTCTGCAGGAAGACAACCCACTGGCAGTCTGACGCTCTGTGATTCGGCCCAAATCAAAGCAGCTCGTTTTGAAGTTATTATAGCAAAATTTAGATGCATGAACAGAATAGCTTTTGGCTCAGTTTCTGGCTTTTCCACTTGGATTCTCAGAACCCTCCAGCCCTTCTCTTCTTACCACCTGTCAGCCTCCAACCTGTCCCTTCCAAGGGAGTTTTACGAGTCACACGTTCTCGTTGTGGGAATTTTGGAAAACACAGGAGAAGGCAGCATCCATAAACCCACCTCCCGGGGACACCACTGTTAGCATCTTGCATTTTATATTAACCTTCTTTAAAAATGTGTGGGCCGGGCACGATGGCTCACGCCTATAATCCTGGCATTCTGGGAGGCCGAGGTGGGAGGATCG